GTGTGTGTGGGTGTGTATGCAGTGCTTGAGGTGGAATGAAAATAGAACCGGGATGGTTTTCCCCTTTTAATTCATTGACATTTAATTCACAGGAATTTACTGCCAAAGAAGTAACGGGATGCTTTTAAGCCATTTAGAAAAGAACCAGGGTACCATCCCGCCCCACCTCAAGCCCTGTGTGTATGTAATTTAGCACTCAGAACACCTACTGTGATAGTGGTTTCCGAATAAGTATTGATGTTCCCTCTGAAGACGCTCCATAAGGATCAAAACATGCAAGGGTGCTGAGTTTTCAAGTGGTAAAACTTAAATAGTCACACTGCACGGAGTTGATTTTGTCTTTGTCTTACAAACCTCATGATCTGAAACATGCTCATGTTTCCAAAATAATAAATTAACTGAACGAATATAATGAATGTTGTATTTTAGTGTCCTGTTGCACTGATTCGTATCCATAATGTGTATATATTAACCGTCTTTTACACACACATACGTCCAGCAATACAACGCACACAGCCACATAAGAAAGACACATCAAGAGACACAGTATATACACAATCCTATCCTATCTCTCTAAGATCCATTCTAATATTGTTCACCCACCTATGCCTTGGTCTTCCCTGTGGTCTCTCTTCTTCTGGCTTTCCCACCAATATCCTATATGCATTCCTCGTCTCCCCCATTCGTGCTACATTACATATTTAAGATTTTCAAGGCTCATTATATTGCTTCAGTAATTTCATTATGTTGTGTTCAATAATATGGCCAACATAATGAAATTACTGAAGGAATATAATGAAACTTGAAAATAAAATATCTGAAGCAATATAATGAACCTTGAAAATCTTAAATATGTAAATGTTCATAAGCTCAATGCTGAACACAATCAAATGGCAAAAATAATGCAATGACTGAAGGGATATACCCATAATAACAAATTAGATGAATAAAATATGTAGACACTAATAAGTAAAACTTCCTACCTAGGAAGTTGTTAATAAATTTAGTTACAAAATATACACTGAATCCTGACATTGATTCTGCTCCTCAGTGTTTCATGCTGAATCAGGCAACCTGAAGATTGCAAGTCAATTATAAAATAATGCCACTTCACTCTTACCCACATATAAACACGAACCATTTGAGTCAGAAAAGAATTTCCCACACAATTCTTGACTGAAATATAATTATTTTCAGATATAGGGCAGAATGAACTCTGATCATCTTCTGACAATGATGTTCTAATACTCTGGGAAGAAGGAAACAGGTCTCCAAAGCAAGGAGAGGGAGCTCAAGATCAGAATAGGTTTCTTGTACGTAATCTGACTCTAGGTGATAATGTTATCAACAAATTACTCAATACCAGAGGTTTGAGACAAGAGCATGTGAAGGCATGGTAGTTGCAGTTGCTTGTCATCAGGGTTACTTTCTCCAACTTATGAAACATCTATAGATGCTCTTGTGAGCAATTGGAATATATTATTCCAGTAATTCAACAACTGCTCTCTGCCAATTTCCAGGGCTGGTATGGGCAGGATATTACAAGGCAAAGATGAAGAAGCATTACTTTCCTAATGACTTACTGATGTGTCAGTATCTTATTCTTCCTCTTTGTGGCCCTTTGCCTGGCTGATTCAGTCATCAACCTGTTTGTTCGCTTACACCAACAAGGAATGTAAATTCTTGTGAGACATCTCACAATACCATCTACTATTCCTTGGTAGTGAAGTGAACAACCAGTACACCTAATCCACTCCAAGTCAATGGTGCTCTTAATGGCAGCTGTGATATGCTGCAACATGAATTGAATTGCCTACCATCATAGATTATATTAGAGTTACAGCATACCAACAGTCTCCACACCAACGTCTCAGAAATATATGAAGACATTGGCTGATAGCAGCACTTCAGATGTCACGCATGTCTTGTGTGCATCACAGCTGACACCACGAAGCACCTGTCTGGCAATGGAACCACTGACATAGGCTACTGAGAACACTTCCATGTCACCAGCATGTACTGCAGCAACCATGTCCTTCTGTACTTGTTGAGTAACATGGAAACTCAGGAAATTCATCAGGGGTTTCCTTGCCATGACTTGTGGACGGATTTGGTGAAGAAGCATCAGGTTCCCTGAAGAATGACTGTAGGTTACACACAACAGTAGCACCGTCATCCTCACAACTAGTTCCACACAGACCTCTGATAGCAAGTGCACTGATGATGTTAGTCTTCAGGGCATCTACAAACTGTCCCACAGTTGGATTATTGTTCAAACCAGACTACGAACAAATAGCTTCAAATGTGTTCACAAGGTGATCACCAATCATTATTCTCGCTAGCCACTTCTCTCATAACAGAACATAATTCATAGTATAGAGTGCAGTGGTCCTTACCTGTAGCCAATACAGTGTTGTGGCTTTGTGCAATGTGTAGTGAAATCACTTTCCAGGAAATGTTTGCTACACAAATATTTATTGTGCAGCCTTCTAGCAGAATCAATAGTGCAGGATATTCCAACTTTTCCTGCCCATACCGCAGCCCTGTAAAGGTAGAATAGTCTCAAAACCCAGAAATAATTCTTCAGTAAACATTACAAACTTGGTACACATTCTAAAATTTTGGGTTATGTTGAATAAATTGAACACAGACATACACGAAACTTAATTTATTCATTGGATTAGGCAACAAATAATAAAGTAATTACACCTGAATTAAAACAGACATACCGTGCTGGATCCCTTGGAAAACTGAAGAATCTTATGCCTTCCTTGCTGGATGACAAGCACCCAGCATCAACACAACTCATGTTTATGCTGCAAGAAGCAATACAAAAATTATAACACCATCGTGGTACTCTTAAAACTCCTTCACATTCAACAGACAATCTCTGGGATAAACCGAAAGTTTCAGAACATATCATAAAAAAAATATCATTTAGATGACAGTTCATGATAACCTCAAAAATTTTAGGCTTGAAAGAATTCTATATGTTTCTAATTTCATTTGTGGTAGTAAGCATAACATTCATATACACAAATAATATGTTTAATATGGAGCTGTAATTTCGTTCGCAAATGTCTACTTTCGTTTCGCAACCATATCAAATCAACATTCATATTTACCAATTTCCATATAATGCACCACGATAACCGCAAGTAATTATGGGTATTCAAATTGGTTTGTTTAGGCTCTCTGATTGGTCGAGACCTGCGTGAAGTTTCCGCAGTCATTCGTCGGTCATTCGTTGCGCAGTTGCCGCTACCTGGTCATGGCGGCCATGTTGACAACGAATAACATGCGAGTTTCACGGGGCTGGTCGCAATCATCGCAATCGTGAACAGTGCAGTGGTGAATTTTCATGGTGCTCGAATTTAACGTAGTATGTGTATATTGTAGAGACATAGTGAGGCTTACCTGAAAAATATAATCATAAAGTGCCACAATTTTAAAGTTGTATGTATCTGACATTACGTAATTGTCTTTCCATTTAATGCATCAACTTTTCGTTTGTGCGGCTGATACGTTATAAAATATATTTTGTCAGCTTGTGTGAAGATGGCGACTTCGGGGAATGCTATTAATGTAAGTTCTTTTATTTAACAGTTCTTTATATATTATTATGGCACATTTTGTGGAAAATTCGCAGCAGTTTCAAACGGAGGCGTTGCATTAAGACTAAGGCCCGCGTCCGATGTGTAAAGAAGATTAATTCACTCTTCGCTCATAACCTAACAATACTCTATTCGTTGATACTGTAAAAGGATATTTAAAAATTCCGTGACTCAGGAACTTCGACCCCAGTGTGTAGTTCTGTTTCTGTTTTGGAACCTATTTGCATGTTATGCTTAGTTTGTCAGTAGTGGCATGACCGAACAGGTTGGTCTAGCGTTAACGCTCAGGACTTGTATTCGGGAGATGCACGGTTCAGATCCAGGCCGTGACAACAGCAACACCGACAGAAGAGTTTCATTGTTTTCTGCAGCCCCTCCAGGGAAATGCTGGGAAAATATCTGTTATCTGACACTATGTAGTCTCGATGCTGACAGCGTCAGTAAATAACCACCTAAAGAAATAGTGTATATAAGTCTGAGAAAAAAAAGTTTGTAGGGCAACCAACAATTATTTAATGGCTTTATAGGTTCTAGAATGTATGGAATATATCTGTGTAGTAGATTATTGATAACAGTAGCACATGATAAAAATACGGGGCACGCAGTAGCTTAGTTGGTTGAGGCACAGTGATCCCAGATCCAAGACAGGTCGTTGGTTCGATTCCTGATGAGGTCATTGGATTTCCCCCGCCCAATTTACCTAATCTTTCCAACTGCACTGTGGCCTTGTGGTCAACTCAGGCTCTGACAGAAATAAGTACCATGAATCTTCCTGGGGTGTAAAATGCGGCTTGCGCGTGAGGCTGACAACCTCACTACCATCTGTGAGCCACTTGTCTAGAAACTGTGGGAACCTCAACGCCCCACATTCCTGTGGGCCTTCACAGCGTGTTATAGGGATAGCTTTGCATTTCTACCTTTACCATTCATGATAAAACTGCAAAACACATTTTACATCTTTTTATTGCTAATGTGGTGGGACTAAGTCCCTTGTGCTTTGGCCATTTCTGGCCTATTGTACCAGCCCAGATAATAGGTGAGGGTGATTGTGGAGCAATTGGTGGAATGAAGATTGGCAGGGGAAATTGAAGTACTCGGAGAAAACCTGCCCCAGCACCACTTTGTCCACCACAAATCCCACTTGACCAGACCCAGGCTGCCACGGTGGGAAGTCAGCTACTAACCACTTGAGCTGTGGTGTGGCCGTTGTCACTTTATATCGTCCTAACCTATCATCTATTTCAAACAGTATACAAAGTTTTGGAAACGGTCTGTTTTCATGCTCCAGTGAAAATATGAGGAGATATCTACTCTCTGGGGTTCATTAGAAAGAGTTAATCTTAATCTCTGGACAACCTAGGGCAGCCACATTTTCACCATAGAATGGGCAGATCTAGTTTGCAACATATGCATTAATCTTAAGTTGAAATGAAAGGTATAGATCCTGTAAACATGCAATTGCTACCTAAAGAATCACATTAATCTCCATTACCAAAATCATTTTAATTGAAGCTGCTTGTGAATATGTCAGTAGTAGGAGTGTGTTAGGAGTTCGGTTAAAAGCTACACATATATATATATATGCAGTTTGTGGCAAACAGTTATTGATTTGAAGGTGAGACACGCAGTTTCTGATACTCAGTAAAGGACTGAAGCTTGCATTCATCTTCACAGTGCACATATTTAAATCTCTTCCTCTGGATATGTTCAAGTTGGGTCCCCCCCCCCCCCCCCACCC